TTGTTTTCAAAAACTATATAAGGACCTAGTCCTCCCTCTTTCTATCATCAGGGAATTCTCTCATAATCAGAAACACACGAAAATACACCACTCACGCACGGAACTCACTTTTCGAGCAATACTGTTTTTCTAATCCTGCTTTACTTGAGATCTTTTGGAACTGCTGTTTGCAATTCGACTTTTTCAAGGCTACTTTTGCTTACTTATTTTCTTTGAAACTGGTATGTCCTTTGTTTAAATATTCTGCTTCACCCCCTATGTGTTTACTTTACAGCTTCAGGCTTCTTGTTTACTTTATTGCTTACATGCTGTAATTTGTGCTTCATATCTCTTTTCTTTGCTTCTGTTTCTGTCATGGATCCCTATCCCTATTCCCTTCTATGTGCTGAGTTAAGGTCTTGGCCTGATAGTATCCTAATTACTGCCCAGGCCATGACTTGATCCACAATGGATCCTAACTCTCAATGTTTGGCTAGCAGGCTGGTCAGGGGTGTGCCATCATCCCAATTGCTGGGCATGACCACCCGCCTGCCGTGTCTCTCCCTGATTCCCTTCCCCCTATGCACTTACACTTACTCTTAGATTCTAAGTTCTGCCCCTCTCTTATGAGCCTTGCTTTGGGACCCTGAGTTCCCTCTGAACTTGGACATCTAAGGGCTGGCATCTCCACACTGCACTATGCTCTTGATTCTGAAATATTTTTGGGGTGTAAGCACTGCCCGGAGTCCCTTTGAGACTCTTGGGAACTTTGACACACTCCAAATATGAGAAAGTCTTTTGGAAGTCTGATCCTGGAAGTTGGTTTATCTCATATTGTTGGACTTTGAGTCTGAATTAGGCTGATTAGATGTAGCTGTAACCGCTGCTGTAATTTTTTTACTTTCTTTTTTGATCCATTCGGTCTGTAATAACTTTGTAATAACTATTGGGGATGGATAGTGAAAAGGGATGGGGGAATGAATGCATGTAAAGGGTAGAAAGCATGCCTATAGGATCTTTTATAATTCTGCATTTTTGCGCTTAGAAAGCATGCCTATAGGATCTTCTATTATTTCTGCATTTCTGCATGTAGAAAAGCTGCCTATAGGTCATTCACAATTTCTGCACTTCTGCATTTAGAAAACATGCCTACAAGTTTTTCTACGCTTCTGCACTTCTGCATTTCCGCATTTTAGAGATCATGCCAATATGTTCTGCATATAAAATCATGCCTTAAGTTTTTCTGCATATACACACCATTAGGCAAACAATCTTAGGCTTAATAATAACCAACTCATTCTAGACATCATGTCTATAGGACTCTTGCATTTATATAACTGTTTTAAAACTAATGACACTTAGAGATCATGCCTATAGGAGCAAACCAACTGAATCTGAATCGTCCATCTCGCTAGTAAGTCTAGAATCAGTGGTAAAGTCGTTTTAACATCTCCAGAACTTTTGTTTGTTTCTAAAATCAATAATCCTCCTTAAAATCAGTACGCCTTCTGCATTGTTAGATATCCTGATCACAGATCTCACCTAGGCAAGCCAGTAGGTAATTGATTAACTGTATCAGTTCTGATAACTACATCTAGTCAAGACTAATTCGGGCTCCTCATCTGAGAAATATGTGATGAATCAGCCTATCCTACGCCTTAATTTAATTAAAGACCTAACCAGTATCTGAAGTCATGCTATGTATTTGCATTTAAGTGAGGAGGCCTGTCTGAGCCCTAATTGCTGTTTGTCTCCCCCTATTTGACTATATGTTTTGATTGTCGCCTAGATTTTTTATCCTTTCTTGAACTTCTGAAAATCCCCAATTCCCTTCCTTTTAGGACTAGTAGTTCCAATGCCTCTGGAACTGATAGGATCGAGACGGGTAATAGCATGCAATAAGTAACGATACCGTTCCGCGCTTCAATACCTCAACGGGGTGGGAAGGGTAGACATGGAGATGATGAGCACGCGATAACACCATGCGTACGATTGACTATCGGTGTTGTGTAGATGATCCATGTATTTTACAAACCTAGGACCCCCCTTCCTTTATGTAATTATTTTAGATTGATAATTTTCAGTTCTTTAAAATTCTGCATTTTGTTTCAGTTATTAAAATTTCCCCTTTAATTTTTGCACTGTCCTCTTCTTCTAAATAAAATTTTCTGCTCACCCATTTCTGTATCTGATTATTTATATTCATTATTTGGTCCTTTTTTTTGCACTTAGACATTCTTTCAAATAACTAGGAAATCACCTATTCAAAATTTCAGCATGCTTAGTAACCATTATACATATCTACTCGAGGTCTTTATGTGAAATTTGTCTTGTATGCTTACTTGCTTTAAAGTCACAATTGTAGCATGGCCGGGAACCACACTAGTAGATCTTGAGGGGTGCCTAACACCTTCCCCTCGAGATAATTTCTAGCCCTTACCCAAACTCTGGTTTTCCAACTCAAACCCTTCTTAGTGTCCTAATGCACTTAATCATTAGGTGGCGACTCTTCAAACTCCAAAACCCAATTCCCAAAAGGGAAAGGAGTTGTCCTCCCAAATGTCGTAAACCCGATTTTGCCTTTAAAAGAGGAAAAAAGGGGCGTCGACACCAACTTCTCGGTAACACAAAGTTATGTCACCAGAAAGTAGGGGAGCTAACTGTATAGGATAAAATACGCTATGCCACGTAGCCGTCCAAAAAAGGGACATGTGGAACCTAAGACTGGGGGAATGTCCAAGACCGAAGGCAACTATTCCGTCTGTCACCGGGGAGAATAACGCTCATAAGGATGTAATAAATACTCGTTGCCCGGTAGCATTTAATAGGAAATATTCCATGGTATTAAATACGATTGCCCGTTACAAGAAATTTGACATTTATGCTCACCGTTATATCTTCAGCAATGGCCCTCATAATTGATATTAAAGAAGGGTATGATCCTATAGGACCTCCTTCCCTAGACGTTGCTATAAATAAATGAGCTCAGCTATCATTATAAGGGACATGAATTTTCTAGCAAATTTACACTACATTCTATACAAAGCTCAATACAATCTTACTTTCTAGCTTTTTGATTTCATTATTGTTGTGCCCGGAAATCTTGTTCCCGGAACTGTTGCTTCTGTCGTTTCGTCTACATTTTAAGGCTAAGTATTGCATAATTCTTCGATTATTTTATTATTTCAGGATCAAATTAGTTTACTTGTCTAGAAACCACACGTATAAATTCAACTGTACCATTTTACAGGTAATCAACAACATCACATAAATGGAACAAGAGTAAGTAGTGCCACCTCATAAACAGTGTTGAAAGAAATACCGTAAACAAGGTAAAATTACCTTATATTTACAATATTTTAGGTGCATCACTGTATATATATTTGTGGAATTATTTAAGAACTCCTAACTTATCAGAAAATATTGAATGGACTTAATAAAAAAAGGCAGTCCGGTGCACTAAACTCCCGCTATGCGCGGGGTCCGGAGAAGGGCTGGACCACAAGGGTCTATCGACGCAGCCTTACCCTGCAATTCTGCAAGAGGTTGTTTCCCTGAATTGACTTAATAGCCAACTAAGATTAGACATATATAATTATCAAGGTCAAACATCAAATAATGAAAGAAAAAAAACATTAAATCATGAATCCTTAAGTAAAGTTCAACAAAAGATAAGCAAAGGGAAAACTCAACTTTGACATCATCTAGTCAAATACAGCTTGGCGACGAGAAGACGAGGAAAACTAAGTTAGTCCACCCAGAGTACAAAAGCTTCTAAAAGGAGTAACTTTTAAAAATAATTATAAAAAAAGTCAAAAGCTCGAGAAGGAAATTAGGAGTATCCCCATTCTTTGTTATTTTATTTTTATTGATACAATTACAAACAAAAAATAAATTTCTAGATGATATTCCACTTTGTTCTCTTCTTTAGTTGGAGGGGGTGCTGTTGCGCCTATATATATATATATATATATATATATATATATATATATATATATATATATATATCGTATACATGCAAATAAATAAAAACAAGTAATATGTAATATCATTTTCCCACAAGTTGAAGAGACTTGGCCCTATGATTTAGTTGAATATTATTGCAAAGGAAACTGTAGGATCAATTCTCCATAAACTCAATTTTTAACAAAATGCTCACTCAAAATGTTTGAAAAATAGAATGTTCAAGTCCAACCTTGAACCTATGACTTTTACAAGCTAAAATATGAGCTTGGCCAGTGGACCAAGAAGCACTCTTTGCAAGGATGTGGTGTCATTAATTATATATTGATTTATTTTTTGCAGAATATAAGTATAAACATTTAATATTTTTCTCCGGCGAAGCGGTGTCGGATGATACCGCTTCTTACCATGTGCTTTCACCCAT